ACACAGTCGGGCCAGAATGGCAAGGAAGGAACAGAGAACCTCGATTGGCGAGTGCTCACAGAGGCAGAGCTCAATGAGCAAGGTGAGGTAGATGCATGGCCTGGCATCCCGTTTGGTCTGCTCTGCCATTGGAGCTGACCCCATCCCATGGGCAGTGCTGGTAGTGTTAGTTGTTCCTCTTCTATGGATTTCTTCCCCGTCTCTGGCTGTGTACAGGACTGTTAAATAAACCCAGATTAATAGTCAGCTCAGCCATATGCTGACCGACAGGCTTAGTCATTCCCATCCCCCTAGTTCAATGGTAAACACTGAGGGTCTGGTATAGTTGGAAATGACAGGGTAGCTCCCCAACTGGCTTTTGAGAACACTGCTTGGCTGTGTGTATACGTTTTTGCAGCCAAAGATATATTTTTGGAATGATCAAGACTTTCCAACTTCAAGCATGTCTTGTCAAATCACTTCTGCTAATGAAGTAAACTTAAAAGTTGAGCAAGATCACAGCTTGATATTAAAGATCCCTCCCAGATACTACAGCCCTTTTGCCCATAAATAAGGTTAATTTCCTTATCCATCACTTTATGGCAGATGAAGACACAGTGCCAGAATTTAGAAAACAGGAGCAATTGAGAGAATTGGGGAAAAACAAAACACTTTTGTTTGAAGTGGATTGTTTCTGTCCTAGATGCCAGTAGAGTACAAACAGAGTTTCAAACTAGAATACACTATATAGTAAAAACTACGATGCAATTGTTCACCCACAGAGGCTTTGTGCTGAAGGACACAGCTGAATGTGTTTAATTACCAATTAATTGCCATGTAATTGCTGCTGCTACACTTGGGACAATCAAATCCTTGTTTAATAGGCTATTGACCAAACATTTAATTCAAATATCCACTTAATCTTTCATTTTTTGCCACCTTTTTGCTATAGATGACACAGCCTCTATAATTTCTTCAACAAAAAATTTCTCCCTTACAAAAATTAACCATGGTTTTATCGTAGTAAAGCTGCTTAATTTTCTTTTGCATGATTTGTGTGAATGCTTGAGACTATAAAATCAATCAGACAACTGTATTAATAAAGTCATAGCCATAGGTAACTGTCTGAGCTTGCAATTTGTAAATAATACAATTTATTTATTTACTTTTATATTTTATTAAAGTTCTATTTTGACCCCTATAGTAGGTGGGGTTTTTTTTCACTTCCATAATATTTGAGGGAGGAGGGCACAACAATACAATCCTGCTTAGGGCACCCATTTGGCTTTACCTCATGCCATCTTGTCTGTCAGACATTTAAGTTTCAACCTGTCAAACGCATAGTGTGACCACTAGTGCTAGCGCACTAGATCAATAGCGCTCCTATTGTAGTCAGTGGAGCACACGGAAACTTTGTTACATGATAGAAAGCGATGTCGTGTCGTGTTGGGCGTTTGGCCAGAGGTGAAACTTCCATGTTTGCCAGTGCATCATTTGCTTTGAGTGTAGATTAGATAAATGCTCCATTTGGAGAAGGCTAGTGTTCCAAGCAGACGTTAGCTAAGACGTACATTTAAACAAAAAAGGAAAAATGTGAGACTACAGACGTTTTCCTATACAGTAATAATTTGACAGGATTAATGTAATACATACCTTAATTTCATTCAAGAAGTTTCCTGTCAGTCAAATTTTCTCTCAGGACAGAACACAAAATGATCACTGACAAATGTAACCAGTTTGGCACAGACTACCCAACATTGGGTTACACTGACCCAGCGCTGGGTAGGTATGTGAGGGGATTCATAATTTGTATTGAGAATTGATTGATTACAGAAAAACTACCCAGCACCTGGGTAAAAAATATTAACAATAACCCAATAAAATGATCCAACAGGCTGAACCCAGCATTTGAGTAAAAATAACAAAACATAACCCAGCATTTTTTTTTTAGAGAGTATGATCCGGTAAATTATCTGAAAAGTTTGCTTCTTAACTAGTTATATTAACAGCTCCAACACAATGACAACAGAGTAACATGTAAAGTAACAAGTAAACGCTTGTTTCTTGTTGTTTTGGGACTGCTTTTTACACGTGTGAAGAATGGAATTCATTCTTACAACAACTCAAAGAATCAAGGGTTTTGAGTATGACGATTATAGACAATATAATGAAAGAAATGACCCTTGGAATGTACATTTCATAATAATTTGGACAGATTTAACTAACAGAAATGTATTAAAATTGCATTCAAATTGGCTGTATTAAACCTGTATTAAAACGTCTGTATTAAAAGAACGTACAAAAATGGGGTCCTGGTTTGACAAATAAAAAAAGGCCTCACTGAGATAAATGGATGGACAGAAGTGATGGAATTCAAGGAGAACTCGTGCACTATTAAAGCACTGTCAGTATACAAAAACATACATGCATCTCTGAGCGGTCTATGACATCCTTCAGCCCAGCATGTGAGGAGTTTTTCTGTAACTCTTATGTTTTTGTGTGCTTAGCCTTCAGCATAAATACAAGATCTTGTGCGGTTTACAGTAATAAGCAAGCAGTGTGAAGGCCAAAGATCCATGAAGAGGCTAATTACTAAGTGATAACGAACACTGGCAGACAAGCTTTGACAATGCAGCTGCTGCTCAAAATACACACACACATGCACATACGTTTGTTTTTGGTATCTTGTGGGGATTTTTTTCATGGGCTTCTATTGTTTTATATTATGCTAATCCTACTGTTTCATATGAACTCTCACAGAAAACGATTAGATATTAAAACACGGTTACACTTTATTTCGATAGTCCACTTTAGACATTCTACTAACTATAAGTAACTTTGTAACTTCATGTCAACTACATGTCAACTAATTCTCATTAATTTGCAACTACATGTCTACTAACTCTCAGAGTAGACTTAGGGTAGGTTTAGGGTTAGTAGAATAAGTTGACAAAGAAAGTGTTAGAAGATATTAAGCAGACAGTCTACTAATACTCTGCTAACTGCTAGTTGACATGTAGTTGCAAAGTTACTTACTGTTAATAGAATGTCTAAAGTGGACTATCGAAATAAAGTGTTATCTAAAACACTATTTAGCATGTTTATTGATCGGTTTTCATTGTGGGGACATCTGTGAGCATCCCACGATGCAAGCAAAACCTCACAAAAGGATATGCACATAAACATCGGAATGAACAAGCACATAAATGTGTACTACACTGCGAATCCATAAAACAAACCAGACACTAAGTTCAATCCGTATATCAACCGTTATAGGCACTCCAATATGCCATTAGTTAGGGATGGGCAATACCTCTTATTTTATTTTTGATCCGATACCAATATTTTCAAGCCCAGTATCCTCGATATCGATACCTCTAAACTCAACTGATCTTACAAATTATTAAAACAAGAGAAATTAGTAATTATACTCACTTAACATTATATTTGAAAGCCTTTTTTTTGTGGCCTTTTTTTGTTTTGTTTACACTGTCAGAAATAAAATGGACTACAATTGTATTTTAGTTCTTTACTGGGGCAGTAACCTCAAAGGTGCACCTTCTCTACCCCTAAAAGTACCATACAAGTACACACACTTTAAGGGTAGATAAGGTACAAAGGTGTGCCTTTGAGGGTAGGCCCTACCTCATGAAAAATAACCATGGTGTTACATAAGTGCTAAAATTGATTATTATTATTATTATTATTATTATCCTTATTACCATGGTTTTTGCAACAAATATTATGGTTAAAATAATGTTCCTGTGTAAACCATGGTAAATTTGTGGTTACTGCAGTTTTACTACAAATACTTTGTAAAAGACTGCCAGGCTGTTGTACCCCTAAAGGTGAAACTTTAGCATATTTTTTTCTGACATTTATTAATAGCAATTACAGAACATAACACAATCCATTTGAACTTTTAACAAGTTTCAATAAATTTACTTGCACAAACTAGCCTAATTAAAATAAATATTACATGTACACTATACAGTTCAAAAGTTTAGGTTTAGTAAGATTTTGTAACTTTTTTGAAGTTTCTAACCATGCTAACCAAGGCTGCACTTATTTGAACAAAAATACAGTAAAAACAGCAATATTGTGTAATATAACAATTAAATACCTATTTTATATTTTAATATATTTTAAATCAAAGATCAAAGCTGAATTTTCAGCATCATTACTCCAGTCTTCAGTGTCACATGATCCTTCAGAAATCATTCTAATATAATTTGCTGCTCAAGAAACCTTTCTAAAGAATTATCAATGTTAAAAACAGTTGTGCTGCTTAATATTTGTGTGGAAACCGTGATAAATTTGATGAACATATTTATATGAAATGAAATACATTCTGTATGTATATATATATATATATATATATATATATATAGTAACAAAGTAAAGGCATTTACTGTCATTTTTGATCATTTTAATGAATCCTTGCTGAATAAAAGTATTAATTTCCTTTAAAAAAATCTTACTGACATCAACATTTTGAGCAGTTGTGCAATTTGAACTCCAGATTGTTTCTCTGTCATCTGATAAGCATTGATCTGGGCTTTGTTTCCCAAATGCATCGTGAGCCAAAGCTGATCGTGGAGACCAGTGCTGGCAATGGTTTCTTAATATCTACTTATGCTTCTGATGCTTTTGGGAAATGCGGCCCTATTTGAACAAGCACTGTGAGTGAAGCGTCAGCAGCGAACGCTGTCTGTGATTGATTGGTTCGGTCTTTTGGCATTTGCATATGTTCTGATGAGCAGGAGAAATAGTTCTACCCTACACAACTATTCCACAATTTTTCCACTTAGAACCTTACTTTATGCACAGAATTTCTTGCTAAATTAATACAATTAATGATTAAAAATGCACTTTAGAATCAATATTTTTATGTGAGGATCAATCTTTTCGATACATCATTATAGTAAGTATCAATAATTCAGGATCAATCTGCCCATCACTACCATCAACATTTGTGGAATTGAAGAAATAGATAAAAACAGACTTGGATTATTCTTTACCTTGCTGTGCTGAACTGTTCGATGGTTGTGATATTGATTCTGAAGACCATCATCTACAGCCAAGCCTAAGTTTTCTGCCACACAGGATACATCTGAGGAGAAAGAAATCTTTATGTAATATGTCACATACACAAGTAAAGATGCTAATACTAAAACTGTTTGCAGCACTGTATTAGAATTGTAGAGATTTGGCAAGTAATTTACCACATTCAATTCACCAGTTCCAAAATCTGAATTGGCAGAAACTTTACTATATGGAGTAAAACACACACACACACACACACACACACACACACACACACACACACACACAAATAAATGTTTAATGTTTAAACAAAAAGCAGAACCTGGGCCAAAACCAAAATTTCTCTCTCAACGCAATTATGAGACTTCTCATGGGATCTCTATGCTAGTGCCTTTTGCTAACGCCAAGTGCGTCACATTTTTTGGTGAAAATCAAGCAGAGCAGATTGTCTCAGTAGTAATTGTATAGTGCTCTTCTCACTTCTGTGCAGTTACCTAAAATCTTTCTCTAATGGCTTCAACATATCTGGCACTACAGCGCCTCCAGAAGTTCCTGCAACAATGCTGCAAATGTCTTATGTGTGAAACAGTGTAAAGTTTTAATGTTTGTTTTAATATATATATATATATATATATATATATATATATATATATATATATATATATATATATATATATAAATAAATGTTTTATGTGTTATGGAAAAGCCTAATTTTCTGCAGCCATTACTAGATGACAATGAAAACAGTTGCATATTCATTAAAAATATTTCTAAAGGTATACCTTTAGTACCCGATGCGTTTCTTTTTATTGACACAGCTGAAACAGTTGCACTGCTTAATGTAATGCTAAAAATGTCAGCTTTGGCTGCTTACACATTTGACATTGGCAGAAAAGTTCTGAGACAAATGTCATACATGGCCAATAACACCAAATGGGAAATGCTACATGAATGAAATTTGAATGTCTTGTAAACTGACTTCATATTTTGTTAATAAAGCACAGAGATGATCAAAACACAAACAAAATGCCAAAAAGCTTGCCGTTGTCTTGTCTAAGATGAAATGAATAGGTAAAAATATTCTTATTCCTGCACTTTTGATTATTTTGATTTATCTGTATTAAATTTAACTGTGCAGACTATAATCTTCAACCATAAACTGTCTGTAATTTATATCATTTTTCAGCTTCTTGATGCTTCAGATTCTTGATGGTTGTGCAAGTTGTTGCTTTACGGTTGCGCTCTATGTTGCTAAATGAAGTTTTAAGGAGGGTTTCAATGACAGGAACAGAGGCTTACTGCAAACATCTACACAGGAAAACCATTGTACGTCCTTGTATTCTCTTTAACTGTGAGTGTGGAAATGCATTTATTACAGAAAATATAGAGGACATGTGTTTTTATATATCTAATGAAAACCCTGATTATAAAAAAATGTAGAGTTATTACTCACACTACAATGAAGCTGCACTCAAGCATAGGCAGAGTTTGTCGGTGTGGCCTAAGCGAAAGCATCACATAAGGTTTACGTTTAAGCCACTGAGGTAAATTTCACGTTAAGAAACTAATCCATGGGTAACTAACTGAATCCTAAGTAACTAACCATGTTTTTGTGTTAAAAATGACAGATAGAAACTACACCTTTGTTCTTGACAAGTGTGCTAATATACCTCTTTATTCTAAAGATGCAATATTCCCATTTCTTTTTTCAGCCTGCTGTATTATGAGCAATCTGATGCATTGTGTTAGGGATACATAATGCAGTAGTTATGTGATTTGGCTTGCAGTCAGACAGCATCAGTTTCACTAAAGATCTCAACCACCCACTTTGCATATTGGTTTGAAGCCCCTATAGCCAAGCGCACACTACAAGATCACTGAAGATTGTTGCATTTGAAGTTTTATGCAACAAGAGGTCACAGCACGTGTCCGCAGCTAGTTGCAGACACTATGACAGAAATCAACTTGTTTAAATCTGATCGGTCCACTTAAAGTTTTGGGTAACACTATATTTTACAATGTCCATGTTACACGTTGCATGTACTGACTATAATAATAAATTATGCATAACTGCACGCATTTTTAATTATTATTAATTATACAATTTTTACACCTCCCCTTTAAACTTCCTTTTCTGGTATGCACAACCTACAATCCAAATAATTTCAAGTGTCAAGCTATGCCAGTACCTATTTAGCTGTGGCTTAATTTCTTTAATATACAGGTGACAAAATTAAGTGAGGATCGAGAATAGTAAACATATTTCCTTGTGTGCAAAGGTGGTTCGATGGAAGGAAGAGCGTTTTAAAATGTGGTTCCTAGAAACAAATGAAATGTCTAATTTTGTCGCCTGAACTGTTAAACAGGTTTGGTAGTTGAAGAGCTGCCAAGAAATGCTAAACGACTGATGCAAACGTTTTCATTTTTAGCCTTTGTTGTGGATTTTTAACAATCACACTGAAGCGTCTTGCAATTTTGTTCATTTATCCATCATGCATTTCCAAGTAAAACATTTAGGTTGATTTTGTATAATCAATAATGTAGAGTCAGCAGATACTACTGAAGTAATCTGTACTGACTTAGACATGAACCAATAGTAAGAAATGAAAGATATATAGCGGTATATTTATACATACTGCAATACATTACCTTAGACCCACTTTTTATTAGGTGTCTTTAACTTCATAACGCATATAAGATGTTAGCACTTAATTTATAACTTAATTATAGTAGTTAAGACACCTAATATAAAGTGGGACACAAACCTTTAACAGATATTATATAAAAAAAAAAAAAATTCTGGCTTACAAAACACTCTCAAGTAACCAGTGCTCTATACATGAAAACCACAATACTCACTGCTCATGAAACATGTTCCGTAATTTAGAATCACTTATAATACAAAAGAATAATTCAATGTAGCAACAAATGTGCTGTGATGTTCATTCTGTCAGACACCTACCATGCAAGGACAAAAGTAGCCAGGGTTCAAAACCAGCTCGCAACACTGTTCCTGTTCACAGTATATAGACTGCTTGCTGTTTATCACTTTTATAAATGACTGAGTCAGTACAGACGACAGTCCAGTTTGAGGAAGTCAGTGGAAGGAAATTTGGGGAGGAAGTTTACAAGTGAGGTGTGACAAGTGTCAAATGTCTTCAACAGTGAGCTTGAATGCATAACAAGTTAAAGATACAGTATATTTAGGCCATGTTCGATTAAAAAAAAATGATGACATCCATTTCTTTTATTTTTAGAAATGGATGTCATCTGATGTTCAACACTGCAGCAATGCCGAGATGACAAACCAGGATCAAATACAATTTCTCAGACATTAAAATTATATTAAACTTATTCATTTTGCAGCATGTTAGTTTTAGTGCCGTATTGTGGACCTGAACAGAGAGAATACGATAGTAACACTGTGTCAACAGACCACATCATGTTAAAAAGCAGTATAACGTCAGCAACAAAGTGATACTCCTCTTTCTCACCAGCTGTCATGCAGGTGAGAAATGTGGGTACCTAATGTATTTGCTGTGTTTCTATTTCCATATGTTTCAACTACATAAAAAAGAGCAGCACAGAACTATATAAGCAGAGAACTGACTCGTAAGCTTGCAATTAGTGAATTGGACTGCTTACGTAAGTTTGTGTGGAGGTGAATGAGAGGGCTTAGTGATGTTGGTAGCACTAAATTTTATAACTCGGAACCTATGTTCATATAGTAAAAAAATAAAATAAAATAAAAATGGAGTACACATCCAAAAACCCAAATTGGGTTCAGATGCATCTCACTCCACAAGGGTATCGTGTCTGATGAAGTCCTGACTGGTCGAAATGTTGCGCTGATTTTGGAGCTGTAAATCCATGTAGTTAACTTACGGTATACTTCATTTCACATGTTACGCTCTGTCTAGTGCACAGCTGAGCAAGTACGTATACACCCTGGACTGTGGATGGGCACGTTCAGCACGAGCACACTACCTAGCGGATCTTTGTTTTGAAATCTCTCGCACATGTGCGGACACAAAAATTTAGCTGCACACACAGACATCAAACATTTTTCTGGAATAAAATGCTCCGCTGAATCACTCATGTGTACATGTGTGTCTTGTACCTGTTGAGGACTTGGCTCTTTGGTGGTTTTGGACGTTAACCCTGCGCAGAGACTGTGTGTTTGCTGTATCTGTATTGTGCTGAATGGAGGGTGGATGACGTTTCACAGTCAGTTGCAGACTCTGATCATTGAATAAAGGCTGTATCAGAGCCAGGTCCAGAGAAGACACCTCACAACCATTTAAAACCATGATCTCATCACCAGGCCTCAGACCTATCAGTTATATAAAACAACAGGAGTACAAGGAAACAAAGTTTATAATGCCCTTCAAAAGGCAATATGTAAAAACGATATGAGAAGATCTTTTGGTCTTTGTTCAAATATCAAAAAGGTTTTTCTAACATATCCAAATAAATGTAACCTATCTTCAGGGATAAAAGCTATAACTTCACAAGCAGAAGTACCTTCGCTGAAAGCAAGCCCATCAGGGAGAACTTCTCTGACAACGATATGGCTGTTTTTCAGGTTGTCTACATAGCCTGTAACAGCAAAGCCTTGAGGACAAGAAAAAAAAACCTATCATAACACATCATAAAGTGCCATCAGTCCCCATGAGTATAAAAACAGCCACTTAAATCTCCCCTTTGCAATGGCTTGCTTACCAAAGTCTCCAGTTAGACTAGGTCTAGACATGTGCAGAGTGTAGACATTCAGCTGGCTGACCTCCAATTCGTCATATGACTAGGGTGAGAAAGAAGTGTTGATAAGTGCGCAATCATGCAGTTCAACAACTCTGCCTTTTATAAACTGGGCTGTGATCCAGCTGCTGCACATCAAGCATTTGCCATTATCAATATCTTACCAAGTCCTGCAGGAGCTCATCAGTTGATGGAGTTGATACCTCCATCCTGTCTCCTACACATCTTCTCAGCCTTAAGCAGTGTAGGCTAGGGTCCAGGCCCATGAGCTAAGAAAAGGAAATGCAAAAGGAAATGCAGCCTTAGTGAGCATAAGAGACCTCTATCAAAAACAAACAAACAAAAAAAAAAAGTGTGAAACTAATTTGTGTGGTAAAAGCCAGTTGCTGAAGCAATGTCAGCCTGCTGTCGTAGATTCAGACTAACACAGCTGTCATGCAGAGAGCAAGATGTCATCTATTAATGAATTTCCATAGATGCGGTCTATTATAATGACACCCATAGCCTCAGGTGATCTCAGCAGAGAAGTATGATACCACAAACAAACATAATTATGTGTCTGCGTTGACATAGCAGGCACATGTGTAAAACAATTAGAAACAATGAAACAGTTGACAAATCAAAATGGGTGTGTTGGTACATCAAGGTAATTAATCTGAACACTACGCTGACTCTTTAAAATAAAGAAGTGGACTTTTTGGAATGCACTTATCTTACCCTGCAGGTCTCAGCCAAGACATCCGTGACGGTGTGATGAGGTTTCAGAAGAACAGTAACAGTCTGGTAATTCGGCATATAGATGCATGTTATGTTTTCCTGGCTGCAATCCCATTGGCTGCCTTCAGGTGGCATGATTGAGTAAACATTAGCCAAACTACCTAACCGCTGTGAAAGAAAATCGAGAGGATGACAAAGATTAAAAATAAATAAATAAATAATACTGAATCAGGTCAAATGCAATGACTTTTTGAATATTACTTTATTCCCTGGTTAGTACCTATTTATAACACTTTATTGTATTTCCTTATTTATTATTGGTGTGACTAAATAACAGATGTTATACGATTTACTTATAAATCCTAAAACACAATTCTCTGATCTAGATGCATTTATAGCGAAACCAAGGTATTCATAGACGAGCATAACAAATTCAAAGATTGACTATCTAAAACTAAAGCATTTGACACGGACTTGTTCCATGACTCGCATCATGACGTTTAGTGGCATCATTTTATGCTTGTTTAAGGATGTGTCACTCAAAACAAAACACACCGTGGTTCTTTCAGTGGAGATTAAGTCTTAAAGTGTCGGAAACAAACATGCCTATCCACCTTCACACACACACACACCAGAGGAAACATGTCACGTCTCAGTTCCAAAGGTACAGACCATCCACACATTTCACTCAATGAAATAATGGCTTTTTTTAGCAAGGGAAACAGAGTGACCTAAGACAAGTTGTATAAACCTCTGTTTGTCCAGCGAGTGGTGCGAATGAAACCCTGACCAGCAGTAGAATGAGTGTGCATTCATTTACCACAGTAACGGTCAACTTTCCGACAGAGCAGCCAAGGGCAACCGCCCAGTTCACACTCCTCAGTGTGTGTAGCTCTCAGCACCAGACTTTCCTCTCCAAATTGGGAAAAATCATTTATGGAAGCTAACCTCCACCCAGAATGCTAAAGCTGGAATGATGAAGAAAAGACTCTTGCTGTCTAGAATAACCGCTATCCTTTAACATGGTCTCTTAGCAATACTGGTGTGTTGGTCTCCATGGATTACTGAAGTGGCATACAGTGAGGAACCATGGACAGTTTTTCAGAGACGTATAAGCAATCACAAATTGTACATGTGGCTCAATCCAGTCTTGTCTCTAAATCAACTGATGTGAACACTTGTTCTTTTCATGTTCAGGGCAAGGGTCTTCTGAACTAGCACCACAGCTCACCACCAATCAAAATGTGAGCATCTATCAGCCACAATAAATAATTTTTATACATGCATGATAAACAAAAAGACATCACTAATACATTTATATATGTAAAATGTGTGGGTACATCAATATCGGTTTTACAAATGTACTTTTAACATATAACCAAGTAAACCTGAGCTTTGTCCACTGGAAGGACTCTGCATTCTGTAAAAACAAAGTAACGTACCTCAAAACTACAAGGAGGAATAGTATTTAGATGCCCTTCACCGTCAGTGTCAAAGACCTAAAACAAGAGGGAAAAAACAAATCACTGCAGTCTCTGCAGTCATAGTTTCTCAGACGGAACAGAGCCATGGTTACAAACACTGCACCAGACAAACTATAATTTTGTTTCTAAATAAAACTTCAGCCAAGCAAATTTCCTGTAGTGAATCTATTTTGATCTTAAACAAAAGCTTTGAGACTTTACTGGAATTAAAGAGCACTATAATGGTTAGTAGGATGAACGGTCATGCTGAATGTTTAATACAAGACTTTTAATCTCTAATTCATAATTTTGTGGAGCCTTATTTATGACAGATTGCTTGTGATGTTCCTCATCTGTAAGTCTTTTATATGGCCATGGCATGGATGGTCAGCTATAGGCCCTGAGGCCCACTTATAATGTTAATATTTCCATTTCCTTTTCCTTTTCCCATCCTCTCCTTGAGCCTTAGAAACAGACAAGATGTTTTTTTTGCTGATTTGCCTCGAAGACTTCAATGTAAACAACCTCTTTGCATGTGAAATGAGAAACATTTTTGAGGCCTTTTCACATCAAGCATAATGCAAATAAACAAAATGACGCACAGATGAATTGTCTATTCACACCAAGAGCAAACTTAATATCGGTCAAGCTGAAGAAACAGTAAAATCAAAAAGACAGTAAGTTAATAAAGATCAAAAACTATATATCTGTATAGTTGTATAGAATTTATATATCAGTTTTATATATATATATATATATATATATATATATAGAGAGAGAGAGATAGAGAGAGAGAAAGAGAGAGAGAGAGAGAGAGAGAGAGAGAGAGCGAGAGTTCACATTGTTCATAATTATTTTATTCTTTCAACAGCCCTTGTTTTTATATTTTTATACAAATGGGAAAAATTAATGTAGTTCAATATGAATATGAGAACAGATAGAAGGGAACAGATGATAAACTGGTATAAACAGGGCAAAAATATAAAAAATACCAAGGAAAATGTATGATACACACTAACATTTTAAATGCAATGTTTTTAAAGAATGCTCACAGAGGCTGCATTTACTTGATTAAAATATAGTAAGAAAAGTAATGCTTTGCTACAGTACAATACGATTTAAATTGGTAAAAGTTCTAATTTTATGTAAAATTATGTATTATAAATTATTTGAAAGTAACTATTTTCATGTATTTTTAAAATGTATTCCTGTGATGACAAAGCTGAATTTTCAGCAGCCATTACTCCAGCCTTCAGTGTCACATGATCCTTCACATGCAGGATTCATTCTAATATGCTGATTGGTGCTCAAGAAGCATGTCTAATTATGATTAATAATTAATTAACCCCCCCCCCCCCCATTTCATCTTATAAAGAAACTGTATGTGTTGTCATTGAAGGGCCTAGTGACTGGGGATCCAATTTTAGAAGCTAAACAGGATTGCTATCAGAGAAGAACTAATGATTTGCTTCTATGTGATTGACTGATTGATGTTCTCAAAACTCAGTGAGAGACAAAGAGGGGAAAAGAGACAAAAAAGACACTTTCACTTGATGGCTACCGCAGTGTCTTTAGCAAAAGGTTGGCCTGTTTAATATTTAGCAACTAGCATAGGGCTCTTATACCAACCATCTGTGTGTCGCTGCGAGGTAGAGTACAGCAGGCTGCAATTTACCACATACGGCTTTTAATAATTCATAATGCATTTCTCCCTCTGTCTGTTTCCACACCTCTGCCTTCTGTGGTGTGAAATGAAATTGGGGCTCATTAGCCAAGCCAGCTGGATCTCCCATTACATGACACATGTCAGGGAGGGACGGAGACTTCATGTCAGTGACTGGAGACTTTTTTATCTTTCGCTCACTTAAGATACTACTGGATTCACTTAGTGACAGAAATGAACAATTACATTTTTTATTAAGAGCCAAAATTTGTCCTATGGAATTGATTTTCAGTTACGGAGGGACGGAGACTTCATGTCAGTGACTGGAGACTTTTTTATCTTTCGCTCACTTAAGATACTACTGGATTCACTTAGTGAACAATGAACAATTACATTTTTTATTAAGAGCCAAAATTTGTCCTATGGAATTGATTTTCAGTTACTTTTTTTTTTATGTTATGTTAATTTATGTCAAATACTACAGTTTATTATAATTTTTTTAATGGTCACTGCAGTGTCTCAACTCATAACTATATAGGCCTAGTGTAAAATTATAGGAAATTTGTTAAATGTCACAACATAAAACTAATAAAATTTTTTATTTATTATGGGATCACATCTGGAGAATTTGTATTACTTTCAGTGGCATTTTTTGCACAGACTCCTAGTTAATTTCTGGCCCTGGGTTCTTTATGCATGAGAATGTGCATTAATGAAGATGGAACAACCAGGACAGTCACTTAGGAACAGGCTTATGATTTGTCATGCCATCTATCATCTACATAGACAGCTGATTTCTAAAACTGAAAACCTAACTGCATATGAACTTTATAAGTCATTCGGAGACACATTTTCAGTGGTGAAATGGATTTTTCCATATAAATAATGTCCAGAAAAAGCACTTACCAAAAAAGCATGTAAGTCATGCAAATATTTGATCACTTTCATTTTGGCTAAGTCTAGCAAGCTACATTTTTAAGATAGTTTCCCAGAAGCTATTGACCTCAGGGAAGGTCACCACCATAATAGAAATGTACCAAGTGGTTATCGGGATCAAAACTGGTAGTTTGAAGAGGAAGTACTTTTCTTCTGAAAACATTTTAATGGTGTGAATAAAATCTACGAATATAATTAATAATTTGATTATTCAGATTTCTAGAGACTGCAGCAATATTATCCTTCTAGTTGTTATCCTTATGAATATTTCAGGTAATCACATAAAGTCAATTAAAGCATTTACAGAGGTGTATAAGAAGATTTAGAGGGGTATTTTATCATATCACTTGGAAATCTAGTCAAAGTAGAGCCAGTTTGGTTCACCAACATACTCCTACTAAATTTTATATTCAGTTATTTTCAACTGATATTTTTCAGAATTTAGCTCATTGCAATACATTCTGGAATTGCTTTATTTGAGAAGATCATATGCCATTCTGCAAACCAAAATTAATGCCTTAAAGTGTTTTCTAGGTAGGCAGCTTACTAGTTTTTATATTAAATGTCATTCTATTTAAATCATTTGTTTGATACAATGTACTTATTGTGTACATACATGTTTACATCGTTCTTATAAAATAACTGCACGCAATTAGAGCTGTAATTAATTTCTGTAAACACATCTGTAATTACACTGTTGGCCCTACCCCTTCCTATTAACCAACACTTAAACATAACCATATGATCAAATATGTCCCTAACCTTAATCATATCCCACCGCAATAGCAGCACTCAACATGAACACACCATGTACACTATACCTAACTTTTTCTTTCCCTTGACTTAAGTACATTGTAGTTAAAGACACCTAATATGAGGAGGGACTATTTTTTTTAATATAACTATTGTGAGCAGAACGACAGGGGGTCAAACTTAAGAAGCATTTATATTTCTACAAGGAGCCATGTTATACTAGCTGTGGTCTAGAAATCTAGTATCCCTTACCTGAGGAAGACCACTGTAAGAACAGCAGCTCAAATCAATGAAATCCTTTTGACAGGGACAAAATAAAAAAAACAAAATGAGGGATCTTCCATTTTTATAAAGACTAAGATGGTTTACTGGGTGGTAAAGAAGTGTTACAGACTCAACAATGCAAGCATTAGTTAGTTACTTAGATGCCACTTTTTATTCCAAACAACACACAGTACTCTAATTGTGAGACAGTCCCCCTGCAACAACCTTATGTTAAATGCCTTGCTCAAGGGCACAGTCATGACAGAAAATCTATAAAATTCTCCGGCTCATGGGTCAACCCTCTCTAGATTTAAACAAACAGCCCAGCGCAGTTCCTTAACTGCTAATTCACCACTATTATTAGCACAGTGCATTAGCATCTCAACAGGGAGGAAACATCATCAGCTTCATCAGTGTCTCAAGGCTTTACATTTGGTAACCAGATATGAAACTCTACATCTGAAAATAGCCCTCTTATTATCTTGGTGCATTTCTGAGAAAGGAGGAGGAGATGAGAAAACGATCAACATTTTTAATCCTGCCAGCTCTGTAATTACTACCTTTAGAGAGTCTTTATTTATCAAAGTCCTGTTATTTGGACCTGTGGGAGGAATTTCCCACCAACGTGATGCATGAGTTTCAAAACATAAAAGGTAGAAAAATTGATATGCAAATGCACTTTCCTAGCACTTGTGTTATGACACAGGCACGACTGTTTAAATCAGACAGAGTGGGTGTAGTACCTGTGAGACTGAAGGCTTTTTTTCATGGCCTCGCTTTGTAAGAGTATCCAGGCCCTTGAGGGAGGAAAATACCCCTTTCTTACTGAAACCACGGTGGGACAGAGACCGAGAACGCTTTCGCATAGTAGCTTCATCTCTGGAACAGATCTGTATGACAACAAAGAGATTGGCTGTAATGGTAATTAGGCAAATATTCCATTTTTGGAAATGAAATGTTCCAAATTAAGTGTAGGAAATGGCTTCCTCTCAATTATCATAAGATCATTTCAGGAGAAAAAGCAAAAATCTAATTCATTTTCATTAAACTAATGTTTTACAATAATATATACAGTAAATCTGTCAGAATGATTTCAACTTCATTTAAAAAAGGAATTTAATAGCTGAATTCCCTGTCAACAACTAGACTACCCACAGTCCTGAGCCATCAATCAGAAAGAAGGAGAGTCGTTGTTACCATAGAAATGTGAATTATGCCAAAAGCGCAGAGCAGCAACCACCTGCTTCCATGAAGCATTGCGAATGACAATCAAGTCAGTCTCCCTACACTCTCATCCAACTTATATATGTGAACATTTTGCAATAAAACAACAAATACATAGTATTTTAAACTTATTTTAATATAATAAACATTTTTAATTGTTTAATTTAATTAATAAATGTTTAAAATTGTAATGTTGTTTTGATTCTATCAAAGAATTTGCAATACTGCATGGGATGAGTAGTTCACTGCTAAGTAGTTCTTGGCTTAATACTTTTGTCTTCAAATTATATTCAAATAGTTTATTTGCTTCAATACAAAGTCTGATAAGTTGTGATTCAATTCATTATTGTTTTGAGATCCTCATGGAGAAAATGAATGAGACATATTTCTGGAACAACAACAGCATCCTACAACAGCTTTTGATCAAGGCTACTAACCAATGCATGGAAGGAGGACACGGAGAAGATTCCCAGACGGGCTAGTGCAGCTTTAGTCGGGCGGCTGACCGTGGCTAGCAGGCTCTTGGGGTTGGGTAACTCTCCACCTTGCAAACTGGCCAGGTAGCAGCGCATGCGGAAAAGGTCCATGTTGAAGCGCTCAAGATTCTGTTCCCACTGTTGGATCTGTCCGCAAAAAAAAAAGGGTTACTTCGGAACTTATCTCATCTACTAGGTGACAAACTTTGCACAATGATCATTTGTGATCTATGGTGGCAGAAACAGCATGAGTAAAGGATCTTCGTGGCTATAATTGCTCTAAGATGTGAGAGGTCATAAAGGGAGTTTTTTTCTCCAATCGCCATTATTGTATGTTTAAAAAAAAACATAAGGGAACCACTGGATTTAGTGATCTGCTCTTTTGACAAAACAGATGAGGAACGGAAAAAGAACATGCGGGTCATTACTCACAGCTCTATGAATATTATCAGTTTGCAGATGAAACTACATAACACTCTAGTCTTCACATAGTTATGTATCTGACTAAACGCCATTTGTCTGGTTCCCATTGCAGCCATGAACCGCCCCCACTTAAACAGGAAGAGATTGTCTGACTGACATGTAATGTGAACAACTAGAGTAATGTACCATTTTGAGGCCGTGCTTAGTAAAAGCCTGTCTACACTAATGATGGAGTTTATTTTCTTTTAATGGGGAAAGCTATTTTATATTCTTCAAATTTTTTTTTGATAAATAAACTATCAAATTATTTAATTTAGTGATAGATAATTGACGACGATGGTTAAAAAATATTAACATTGCATTGACTTGCTCTTGTGCATTGTTTGTATGCTTTGGTTTGGGCTCCCAGCATCATTCATACCACTGCCAGTGAGTTTAGAGATACTGTGTCATTAAAGTTTCTTGGTCTTTGGTTTATTAAATCATACTAACTCAACCTCACACCATTAAAAACAAGTATAATGAGGCTGGACAGACACTGCACCGTTAACTCACAGGAATCTTACCCTAGCCCAGGAGCGCCTTTCAGAAGTGTGACACTGGATATCAACATACACCCATTACTACAAAAAGAAAGGCATGTTTGTTGTAGTTTAGAGACTATTGGGAACACACTGGCTTGTCTGAGTCTTTGGAGCCTGTTTGAGAAATTTGTTCTAATTGTGTCCCAGGAATTTTGATCCAGCATCAACCTGTGTTGCTTAGGCGAAAAAATAAATAAATTAAAAGTTCTCACATAGTCTGATCAGGGATCAGTTTGAGATGCTAGTAAACTTGATATAACATGAGCCTGGCCGAATTCCATTTTAATTTCTAAGGTAATCAATATTTACTTCTGGACAGGCAAAATTTTTGATTGCAGTTCTAAATGTGCAGTCCTACACATTTATCTTCAATTGTTTTCTCTGACCTTTTCCCTGCTTCATATAAAAGACATATGTTTAATAGTCTTAAAAGCAGTTATAATTCGGTTAAGGAGGAAGGGTGAAGGAGGGTGAGTGGAGACTTCAAACTGCCCAGCTGGCAATGATTTGTGGAGACAGCACTTCAAAGTTGCCTAGTTTCTCAGACAATTCTAACCTTTCCCCCTTTACCAAGTCTCTCATCCAGCGCCTGGCACCCCTCTAACTCCCCCTTTTATCCTCTGCATCAGCTCCTGAGGTTCCCATGAAGCACTGACTTGATTGTTATCAGGCAGTGGGAAAACTACTAATACCACTGGTCAAATAAAGCTATGTGGGTCATGCAACCTCTAAAGCGGTATGTGGCGGTAAGATTAACATGCCTTCTCTTAACATGACAAAGCCCTCAATGATTTATCCCAGTGTTTCAGACCAAATGGAGAGCTTTCTCACATTACCAACCTTCTCAATACATACACATCACAGTACAAATCCGCAAACATAATGACTAAGTTAAAGCACTATACTTCAAATGTTTGCATGTGCAGCTGCACCTTCATTGTCTCTAAGAAATTCAGTCTTTATCTCAGATGTAAGCACATATCAAGCTAAAAGAATAAATAGATAAAATGGTCAGTCAAATTTAATTTAAGAACTAATTACTAATTAATTAAAATGCATGACTGAAACAAAAAAGAACTTCATATAGTATTATACGCACTTCCGACAAATTGGATTAAACTGCTGCTTACCTGGTTTTCAATAGCCTTTCTATTTTTGGGGTCACCAACAATGGACAACTGCAGCTCTGCCATTTTCCTCATCTTGCTGTCCATGTCGATCTTCTGGAGAAGACCACGAATCTGTCCATGTAACAAACGCAGTGTGTCCTCCTTCCCGTAGCGTTTCGCAAATAAAGATGCACTAGCCGAATGAATGGCAGTTACCCAGTTCTCTAGGTCAGTTTGGTTGGAGGCCTAGAGTGGAAAATAACATACAGGGAAGGAAATGTGATCTTTTATACATAGAAGTTACTGTAAATATGGTCATTGTCAAAAAAAAGGCTATTTGATTAGTAATGTAGAAATCACTTCATTTTATATAACGTTACTTTGTCTTACATTTTTCACAGTTCTGAAAATGTATGTATTTCCATGTTTAGATTACATCATCAAGCCTAGATTTTCAATGTCTCAAACTTTTGGACCCCACTTTAAATTTGTCTACAAAATAGATTTCAAGCATTTAAAGTGATAATTCACATAAAAATTAAAATTCTGTCATGATTTACTCACTCTCAAGTGGTTACAAACCTGCATGACTTTTGGCGCTTTTCCACTGCGTGGTACGACTTGGATCGGTACGGCACGGCACGGCTCGGCACGGTTTGCGTTTCCACTGCAGTTCAGTACCGCTTTAGAGTGGGTGGGATTATTCACATGTCGTTATAGTTGCACTGCCTCTACTACCACGACTCCTAAAAAAACTTTTTCATTCCGCGTCACCCCATCAAGCTCTCGCTGGATCCGCTCCTCTGCTATCAACGAGAGGAACGTCTGTACCTCCACAACAGACAACAAAACTTTTTGGTTGTTAAAAAAAAGGTGCGCTCGTTCGATCCTTCGCTGGCTGTACTGATTTAAATCTAGCAGTTCTTTTGTGTTTGTGTCGCAAGTTCAGTGACGCAGGTAGTGACGATTCTCTCCGGCCAATCCGTGATCAGCAGAGTTTACACGTCATGTTTTGGTAATGGTATCCAGTGGAAAACCCCCCAAAAGTGAACCTTACCGTGCCATACCATGCAGTGGTAAAGCGCCATTTCTTTCTTCTGCTGATCACAAAAGAAGATATTTTGAAGAATGTGAGTTGCGAACCAAACAGTTGCGGTTCCCATAGACTTCTATAGTATGGGGAAAAAAATACTATGGAAGTCAATGGGGCAACCAGCAACAGTTTGGTTACCCACATCCTTCAATATATCTTCTTTTGTTTTTGGCAGAAGAAATTCATTTAGGTTTGGAACAACCTGAGAGTGAGTAAATGACAGAATTTTCATTTTTGGGTGAACTATTCATTTAGGTTTATGCTTGATATCATAAGGTTGTTAATATCACCATAAACATTATTGACAAGTAATGTGTGTGCAGTGCTTTTTATTTAATAATAAATTCTGTTTAAAGTTTAAACACTGTACTGTTTCCGCTCTGTATACGTGCAGCTTCTGTGCGACTTCCACTCTGCTTATGGTTTCAGTGTGAAGTGGCCATTAGTTTTATAGCTCAGGTTTTCAACTGACCTGAAAAAGGTAGACATCACCATAGGCATTACTGAGGCAGAACACGTTCTCTTTCTTGGGGTGCTCAGGAACTGCCTGGACTACACCATCCTCTGCTAATATGGCATAGAATGGAGACTCTGGCTCTGAAGAGGCTTTTCCATAGGTCTCATAGAAGAGCATTGTGCAGCCTACAAGAAAGAAAAAACATAATTTGGTCATCTCTGGTCACTTTAAGCAGTCATGGTGTGTCCTTACTGCACAAAGGTGAGTGGCACTGTAAATCACAGTGGTTGTTATAGCAATCATGGCATACTTACCCTTTAGAGTGACCCAGAACTGTTTCCATTTCCGACGCCCCACTAGCTCTAATTTGCGGTCCTTGTGTACAGTAAGCAAGGGCTTGAAGGATAGCCATCCGGCCCACCTAACTACACCTTTTTCTTTCTCAAAAAGCAAGTCCAGCTGCTCTAGACACCCGAGGATTTCTTGACTATTGCTCTCTATTTCCTCTGAGGAGCTCTCGCGCCAATCTTCTCGTCCACATTCTACTGGAGGCCGACTAGTCTTCAGCTCCCTCATGAAGTTCTTGTAGATGTTTTGCCGCAAAACATCGGTACCCAAATGAAGGGCACCAGCAGAGCCGCTGCGGGTATTCCGTGACAGGGAGTGAGAGTGGGTTTGAGGTATGCCATTTGGAACCGTCAGAAAGCTGGAGACCTGAGAGGGAGAACTGGTATCGGCAGTGAGGCCATCCACACCACTATCAAAGCAATCGACGGGCTCAGTATATCTCGGCTCCTACAACAACAGCAAAGGAGAAATATTGTAAGGCTGAGGTTACATTTATGCTGAAATGTGTTTACTTGTAATCATCAAAATATAATTTTTTAAAGCCACTACTCATTCATTTTTGCAAACTGGGTTATTTCAATCAAACTAGATTTTTTTTATATTTGAAAGAAAATGTAAGTGGTGCTCGTTAATGCTAAGGTTGCCAGTCTTTTGTTGCTATGCGTTTCTTGGTGTTCCAAGTGGCATGCACTAGCGTATTCCATCTCCTCCTTTAACACATACATTATAACACATATGTTTTTTTTTTTTCAAATATGAATGATTTGAGACTGTTTTAAATATTACAATACTCATACCATTTGTGCTACTAGTTATTAAGTTTTATACCTCAGGTCAATAGCACAATTGTTATGCTACAAGGTACTTTAATACTTAAGGACAGAGACTTGAGCATCAATTATGCCTTAGCAACAACCTCTAATACGAAAACTAAAACAAAATAACAAGTCAGTTATTGCTGGTGTATGACAGTAAGCTCAAGTTCAAATCGCCATAATACTACACAAATTTATGGAAAATGAAAGCCATGAGCACATCTCTTTACCCCATTCTTCATTCACCATGGAATACACAGTATGCTCTTTAAAGGAGTGTCATTTGAAAAATCTTAGTAAGAGCATCGATTCCCTTCTGCTCGTAGTGAGGAGCACACTTCAAAAGAAATCTGAGTAGGAGGGTCCTTCTCAAGCATCTTTCTTCAAAGTCTACACATCTCCAGCAGCTGACACTAATTACACAAGGGTTCAGATGTGCCAACAACACTCTGTGTAAAACTACAACTGATGTCTGGCATTCAGTGGAGATTTGAATGTAAACTTCAATATTTCTCAACAATAATTGCAAAAGTTGAAGTAACAAGTTGACATGGCCACATGATTATGCATATCATATTACCAGGGTTCTAGCAGTTGATCAGTGTACATCAGAATTCTACCAAAAGGTCTTTGTGGCTGTCAAATAGTAAAAAATGATTAAGAGTGTTTCTTGCGCTGAAGCATTTGGTTCATAATAATACATTTTAGATGGTTTCACAGTTATGATTAACCTGATATCAGCACAAAATTATCATAAATTGTGATCTGATTTTCACTTAAGTCATAAATGTGTGTGAAAGATGTGACCAGTGGGAAAAAGAAAAAAAGGCAGTTGGTCTCAGCACAACTTTCAGGGATTTTATTTCAAAACGCCAAAATTACAAAAAGCAACTCAAAAGAAAAAAAGAAACAAAAAAAGAAAAAATATATACAATAAAGATAGGTCACTACATTTGCCTCTCAAACTTACAGAGATCTAGGGACTGCAGGACCTGTTCAACCTTATAACCCCACTAACTACACACACACACACACACACACACACAGTTAGGATTTATAATTTGGTGACCAGCACCAATTAAGACATTCAATAGACAAAAACAAAAATAAACTTCAAACCTTGCCCAAGTTACATTAATTTATAATTGGATTTTATATAAATATATATATACACTGTATATATATATATATATATATATATATATATATATATATATATAT